AAGGATTTTTTTATTTATAGAATATCTTTTTTAAAAATTATTTTTAGGGATTTTTTATTTTTTAATTGTTTATAAAATATATTTACTATAAGAAATGTTATTCCTTTTTGCAGATGTTTTTTTTTGTGATGCAATATGGTGCTTTTAAGTGTTCAGACCAGGTTTATGTGTCTCAAAGTGGCTGCTTTTCTATGGGCAGGCCTATGGGCAGCTTTGCCAGATTTAGTGTACCTGCTCTTGAAGCATGTGGAGAAACTAAGGCCCATATTCAGAAATGGCTTTAACATAGACCATAGCAACAGGACCTAGACTTATATAAGTCTTAACCGTGCTTTACAGCCCTCTCTAAGCGGTTTACAGAGTCAACATATTGCCCCCCCCACAATAATCAGGGTCCTCATTTTACAGACTCGGAAGGATGGGAGGCCGAGTCCATCTTGAACAGGTGAGGATCGAACTCCCAGCAGTGAGCTGAATTAGCCTGCAATATTGCATTCTAACCACTGCGCCACCACAACTCCATCATGTTCTTCAGCCAGGCCTCGAAGAAGTCGTACTATTCAAAATGTGGCCAAAATGTGTGTCTCTGCTTAACGTCACGAATAATTTTTTTTAGAGATTCACAGATTGGTAGTCTGGACTATAGTTGATTAATTTGTGGATCAGGGCTTTGTACAAATTCAGACGATTCAACCAGTATGGATAGTTGGTAATTCTGTATACATTGCAAATATAGGAAGTTGGGTTAATTCAATAAGCCATGAAATAACCATGGCTCAAGAGTGTTCTGCAATCATGGCCATTCTACATTTATTTATTAATCCTGCCTTTATTTTTATAAGTGACTCAAGGTGGGCAATATACCTTATATACTCCTTCTTCCTATTTCCCACATGAACAATCCTGAGAAATATGTTCGGCTGAGATAAGTGACTGGCCCACGGTCACCAAGCTGGCTGTCATGCCCGTGACCCGTCAAAACCGTGGTCCACTAAAGCGCGCCCGATTAAAGCGCATACCTGACGTCATCAGCAGCGCGACAAATAAAATTTAAAATAAATTAAAATAAAATAAAATAAAAGCAAGCCGATTCACATAAAGGTAAGGGTTAGGGTTAGGGTTAGGTTAAGGGTTAGG